CTATTTTCACTATAATTGTGAACCTAGTCCTTAATTGAGCCGGATTCGCTTTCGGGTTATTAATCCTGCCAAGACTCCTTATTGCACCAGGACTCGACTTGTCTTGCGTCATAACCTAGCCGTCCTAGGTTTGGAGGCCCACGTACTGAACGATCCATGGCACCTTTGTCGCAAGGCCTTCCGGGCCGAGAATGATTCTATACTCGGCCCAAACTAATATTTTGGGCCCAAACAGGTACGTATATCCTTGCAGGCATGTTTGTAGTTGGTATATGATCTCCACTTTAGCTAGATTAAAGATATGCGTCTGGAGCAACATTTTGAAAGCTAAAATACGTCGCACTTACATATCATACTTGTGATGTACATGGATCAAGATGAGACATAGTGGGCAAAGTCCACACTAGTTCGCACAGTCCTTTATGAACGTTGACGTTCTTATCTCCCCCTAACGACATGAAGATTGTCTCCTCAAAGTGACAATCCGCATAATATAAGTAGTAAAAGAGATCGCTTGCAAGGGCTCATAAAGAGCTATTTCGAAGGAGAATCATAATCGACAAAAATTCACATCCTTCTTTGACGACATATTTTGGTACGTTGCAACGGAACAACTTGGCACATAAAAGGCACTCCCAAATGCGTAAGTATGAAACATCAAGTCGAACCTATAGTAACTAACTGCAACGCCAAAGACAAGTTGAGTGGCGATGGGCCTCAAGCGAACCAACATAATTGCATACAAAATTGCAGTCTTATACAAAAACCAACATGACAGGTTTACGGTCACTTCTGCGAGGCTGGGTGAATATGGGGAATTTGATGTTCAATTTCTAACCCAAAAGACATGCAATACTTATCGAAAAATCGTTGATATAAACTCTCTGACATTATCAAGACTTCCAAACTTTAAGGGATGATCAGGGTGGTAAGCCCATAAGGTGAAATCGGCCTGGAGGATGACAACTATGTGTGAGGATAAACATGTGACATGTTATTAGTGTGTCAATACATCAACCAAAATCATAAGTATTTACATGGTAAACAAGCAGGCTTACCAAAGTGTGCTTGTAGGCACTAAATCCTTACAACATGTAAGGTGATGCGTCGTGTATATGGGCCATCGTATCTCGACCTAAGTGTCCCACAATGTCATGAAAAAGTAAGTAAACTACTTGAATCACCTAGTTTTTGGTCAACCATAATACATAGTGCGCCCCGTAGAGAGTGCTTTGATTCCTAAATACGCTTTAATCCTTATTCATAGGAGGTGATGCATATATCCTTAAGGCTCAATGGCATTCTTCTAAAATGGGGAGAATATAAGGTTTCTTTAATGGTATTTCATTACCATTCATACAATGAGGAGTGATGCCAAAACCCTTAATCAGGTTGGATATACTTGAATTTGTTCTTGGAGGGGTGATCTAGGTATGAAGTTAGTGTACATAATAGCACATTCATCTAGACAACTAACGGTACATTTACGCCTAATCATGTATTTAATTGAATTCGGACAATGTATACAAGAAATATGACTCAACTAACTCATATCGAGCACAATATTCATAACGTTATCCAAAACTAAAACAAACATCAAACTTGAATTCAAGAACATATGAAATTATTCACAAAGTAAACCAAAACTAAGTAAGGGGTTCGGCCAACATTATAGAATATTAAATAATTTCGTAACATTATAGAACTTACTTGTAACTTGTAAGAATTACTTATTACGATGTGAAAGTCCGGATGGTAGTTGAGAATTATGAGATGACACATGTTAGTTTACAAATATCCCTTGGCGCCAATGCACACATCTTCCCCGCCAAAAAAACCCTAAACCCACCATAAAAATCCTTTGTACTCCACAACAGAAAATCAGCAACAAACCTGACCAGAAAATCCCAATACCATCGATGGCCGCAGAGAAACAGTACTGGCTTCTCAAGACAGAGCCGGGAGAGTGGTCGTGGGAGGACCAAGCGGCCAACGGAGGCGTAACCAAGTGGGACGGCGTCAAGAACAAGCAAGCACAGAAGTACCTCAAGTCCATGAAGCTCAGTGACCTCTGCTTCTTCTACCACTCCGGTGCCAAGGCCCGCCGCGTGGTTGGTGTAGTGAGCGTCGTGCGAGAATGGTATTCGGAAGGCGGGGATGATGGGGTGGTTGATGTGAAGGCGGTTGGGGAGATGAGGAGGCCGGTGGACTTGAAGGAGATGAAAGGGGATCAGGGGCTCAAGGGGTTTGCTCTGTTTCGGCAGCCGAGGCTTTCGGTGGTGCCGGTTTCGGAGGATGTTTGGATGAAGATTTGTGATTTGGGAAGTGGTTATGAAGGTGATGGAAATGCTTTTGAGGATGATGGTAGTGGTGGTGAATCTGGTGGAGAAGGAGATGATTGATTTTATGGGTTTTTGTCTTTTGCATGGTAGGTGTTTGTGATAATGTCACAATGGCAAAAGTTCCTTGTATTTTGGGTAGTGCCAAAGGAAAATGGTAGTTTTTTGTGAATGGTTTGATCATGGAAAGGGAGAAAAGGTATTTTGGCATGTAATTAGTAGGTTCTTCTAGTGAACTTGTAGCTACCTAATTTGCTTTGTTTAGATCTTTTGCATGCTCAACAAAATTCAAGGCAATTGTATTTTGATTTTGCTCTTTATGTGTGAGGAGATTTCTTCATACTGCATTTTCTTTTGCTAGTCAAAGGAGAGGCAGGGCCCGTCTGAGAATTTGGGGCCCTAGGCATGCCTTCAAAGTTGGGCCCTAGTGTTCTTTAACCTCTGATTATTTTTACATTGATATTTATATAAGAGAATTTGCTAAATACATGAAAAAATTTATTTCTACATCAATTATCATTAAAAATTAATATAAAAAGAAGAATAATACACAAACATTTAAATGTTACACGTCTCTTGTTTTTGGACACAAATGTACTACTTAAGTTTATATAATGTAATTTTTCAACCAATTGATAAATGGGGTGTGCTATCCACACACCTCATTTTACTTCTCACACACCCCTTGATAATTTATGTCTGTTGATCTTCTTCAATTCATCCGATCCGACGACTGAAAATTAAAAAGGTGTGTGAGAAGTAAAATGGGGTGTGTGGATATCACACCCCTTGATAAATAACCAACTCATTCAATCTTTCGTGTGACATAGTGATCGCAGATAAGATTTCATCAATTTTAATCTTGAAAAACTTCTTTCTACAAAGGCAATTGTAATTGATATGGTTAACAAAACTGTGGAAAAGGAAGGGAAAATTCAACATGAAAACCTAATTTGAGAATTAAAAATCACAAAAAATTGATTGTCAAGTTAACATCCACATTGATTTATGCAGTTAATAAAACATAATCATAGTAGAGAGAGAGCCTCCATAGACGCTGCGTATAAGTTCATGTTGCTTCTCCACAGGTTAACCTCGATTGAAGCTAGGAGCTATTGCATGCTTCTAATTGGCGCTCAAGAGGCGGACTCTAAAAACATGGAGGAATCAATACAAACTGCAGTGTGCCGATATAGACACCATGCTGAAATCTGAATTACCCAAGAAGAACCCCAATATTATTTCCCATGAGAGAAGAGGCTGAAGAGCGATGGTTTTGTAAAAGAGTAATGTTAGGAAAACTAAATTTGGAAACTAAATTTTGGAAACTAAAGGATATGTAAGTTAATGATTGATTTATTACTTAAGTGTTGATGGACATGCTCATTTATATTAGTGACATATCATTTAATTTGTAATTTTAATCTATAAATTTAGTCTTCCTAACATTACTTTTTGTGAAATGAAAGAGCAGCTGAAATCGTAATTTTTGTGAAGATCGAGAAAAAGAGCAACAGTTTTGTGAAAATAAAGAAAGAAAGTGGGTGGGGTTGTATCGAGAGAAAAAGGATTGGCATTTTTATTTTTAAATTTTATTTAAATTTGATAAAGTAAAACTATAGTTACGTGTGTGGGTGAGGGAAAAGAAAAAAATAGTAAAATTTTTTTTGTCGAAAGTTATATTATTGCTTGTGATTTTATTTTTTGATATTTTTATTAAATTTAAAGTGTAAAATATTGGAGTAAGTACCTAAAATTCATTAACCTTTTAGTGTTATTTTAAATTGGTCTCAATCTTTTGAAACTTTCCAAACAAGTACGTAATCTATTGAAAATGTCACATTTATTAAGCCGCAGTTAATTATTCGATTAAATGTACATGTGGCAACTTGATCGAATAATGGCCGCCACCTACAAGATTTAATATGGTTCTATTTCCAATACTTGAAACCTGTTTTAAGCCATGAGTTAGCAAGTGCATCTGCCACCAAATTTACCTCTTTGATAACATGTTGAGGTTCTATGTGATGTGTGGTTGATAATGTGAAGTGGTTACCTTTCTTCCAGCCGCCATAGCATATATATATTTTTCTCATGTTTGGAGTTGGCTTGAGTTGTAGGGTGGAGTTGATTGTTGTGTGTTGGGTTTAGAGGTTATGGCCTAATGGGGGCTAATGACCGTTAGTTAGTGGAGGCCAAGCTTCTATGATCTTCTATTGATTTGGAGACAAAGTAAACCTTTATTATGTTAATATAAATTTAATTGGGGCTTAACGATATGACATTCTCAATAGGTTGGGTACTTGTTTAGAACAATTTGAAATGACACTAAAAAACTTGGGAGTTTTTTAGGTGCTTTTTTTTTAGTACATCCATAGTTTTACACTAAGGGGAAATGGAGTTTAGCAAAGTCACACAATGGACAACCTAGTTTGGTATTGAATTCACCATCCCCAAGATTCAAACCTAAGACTTCTTATTTTCAAGTGAAAAGAAATATTACCAGATCGTAGTACTGAACGGCTGAAGTTTTAAGTACTTAATCCTACAAAATTTATATATATTTAAAATGGAGGCCCTCCGGAATGGGGCCAGCCCTGGAAAAGGTAAGAAGAAAAAAATGAACGTATGAAAAGGAAGATAACTTTTCCTTGAGCCACAACTTTGGTTGAAAGCTATTCCAAGTCAACATACGAGGGCGCATGTTACACCTTCCAACACACACCAACAAATTTCAAACTTTTATTCCTTCTCAAATGCAGGCTTTCTGTAAGAGAATGAAAATTACAGAACAAACTGCTGTTTGAACATTAGATCTGCTGTGGGCTTCGGCGGATAAATCAACACAGGGACTCGGTGCTAGCCAGAAAAGAAAAAGATAAAACAATGTCATCCAAAGTCTTGTAAGTTCTTGTTTTAATCACGCATCATATATGCCTTTGTTTGATTTAGACCTGATTTTGAGATATTCATATAACTATTTTCGCACTTGTTTTCGAAACCATTATGTTAAATTTTGATCATCAATCTCAATGATTTCAGCAGAGGCTGAATCTGAATTTTCGTGAGGCTGAACCCCAAAGTTCATTTGTAAGGACAGAAATCCTTTAAAGGAGGCCAGATTCTTGCCTTAGTAATTTTGTACCACAATAGGAGAAAGAAATCCAACCGTTAAATTTTTCAGTTTCGAACACATAAGAATGCTTATATGTAATCTGTTAAACTTTCATGGGCAAAAAATGAAAGGAAAATGCACTATTCAAGTTATATGGAAGGTCTTCTGTCATATCTTGGTGTGTGCTTTTTTATTCGACGTTTGCGGGTGTGTGTGTGTGTTAATCAGGTTCTTCCCATTGCTTACATGATTCAGAAACAGAAAGGAGGAAAGACAGAGATCATTCTTGGATAATGGAAGCATCTTATTGGAGGATCTCATTGCTTCTTGTGATGGAAAATCGAATCCTATTTGTTGTTATTCTGCTGATGAGCTCACGAGGGCAACCAACAACTTTGATCCTTCTTGCATTATGCAAGATTGTTCACCCACTGAAAATAGTCAATTCCCCAGTTCTATACATGTTTATGGTGGTTACAAAATGTTCAGGGGTTTTCTACATGATCGATCAATCATTGTTAAGAAGTTCATGGGGACGGGGGATGAAGCTAAGTCCATGGCCATTCGAGACATTATTATATCAATGCAGATGAGCAACCATAAAAATGTTTTGAAACTCTTGGGCTGCTGCTTGGAGAGTTCTGTACCAGCTCTTGTTCATGAGTATGCGATGGAAGGAGTTCTCAACGATCACGGAGGTCTAGGGGGTAATGAAAATTACTCCTCATTACCATGGAAAACTAGACTGCGTATTGCAAAGCAGCTTGCTAATGCACTTACATATCTCCATACTGCCTTTCCCAGGCCAATCATTCATCGGGATTTAAAACCCAGCTGTATTTTCTTGGGCCATGATTATGTTCCCAAACTCACCAACTTCTCACTCTCCATTTCCATTCCTCCTATGCAGTCTCATGTTGAAGATGATCTGAAAGGGACATTTGGGTACCTTGATCCTTCTTACATGAAGTCTGGTTACATTACAGAAAAAAGTGATGTTTATAGCTTTGGTGTGCATTTACTTGTATTCTTAACGGGACAAAAAGTCGTAGATAAATATGACGCAATAGAATACCAATCAATTATTGCATATGTGAAACAACATGTTAGTGAAATCGGGCAGATTCAGACAATTGTGGACCCTAAAATCAATGAGGATGTAGGGGGAGATGAGAAAGTGCAGCAGCAGTTGCAAGATTTCCTACAACTGGCATTGTCATGCACTCAAGACGAAATTGAAAGAAGGCCATATATGACAGATGTGGCTAGAGAACTTGTTCGAATTGACAAGATATGACTAGTGGTTGGAAGATGAGCAGTGTCTTAAATGTTGAACTCTCTAACCTTTGTATGGTGTTGGTTGTTAATGCGTTGCTATTATTTTCATTTTTCTGTTAATTTGCAACAAATATGATAGCTCAGATTAGATATCTTTGGATTTCTTTATTTGTAAGGAGTTTTTGATGTTGCCTTTTCTTTCTCTATCCAAACATTGATTGCAACCTAATTAATGAGAAAGAAAGAAAAAAAAGAAGAAGAGAACAACGTGTTAAAAATCAAATACATTAATCAGGAATATCCTGTGGAAATTACATTTCCAAACATTATACAGTACTCTTAGCACTGGCATTCTTGAAGATCGATCTTTTGCATGGTCTGACATGTGATTTTGAAACATGGTGCAGAACTAGGTCATTCCTTATCTGTTTGTTTAGTAGAGAGATAGTGAACCTGTAGCTACCTAGTTTGCATTAGTGTGTATATCTTTGTGCTCAACGATTTCAAGGCAAGTTCGATTTCCATGTTGCTCACTACTCTTTAGAATATCTTGATGTTGCATTTTCCTTTTCGACAATGACAAATTAAGATCAATCCTTATTACCATGGAAAACTAAATTGTGTATTGCTAAGCGACTTGTGAATGCATTTTCATATCTCCAATTCCACCCTTCATAAGCACATCATGCAGAGAGATCTAACACCTAGTTGTATTTTCTTGGACCATGACTTTGTTCCTAAAACAGAGCAACTTCTCTTTCTCTATAACAGTTCCTCCTATGCAATTGCAAAGTCAATGCTATAGCGCTCTCTCGTTCTTTATATTTAAGGCTGTTATTGAAACTTTGTAAGTGTTTGCGATCTTGTAATTCATTTGAGAATTCAATGAAACTCCCAATCACATCTGCTTCTTCAATGAAAAGTACGTTGTGGGGTTTTGCTGATATGTAGCAGAAGATTTGTGAATAGGGAGGTGGGTTAGAATATGTTAATTTTTCATGACTTTCTACTTTCTTTATAGTTGACAGGTTATTTGTCTTTTGCTTTGTCTCTAATAATGAAAAAAATAAAAAAAAAGTAGTTTCATGTAAATTTCTTTGGCCGCTATCACCACTGCATGTTATTCATAGCAGGCTGATCATTCGATGCGACCATTGTGGAGAAAATGAAACTTGGGGGAGTAGCTACAAGTTCTGCTCTGGTTGCAGATACCATCTGCAGCGGACACGGAGAAATTGATCGATTACTGTTTACTTGGTGTGATCTAATTCCAATCCTAAAAGGCTTTTGGTGCTAAACAAGAATCAGTTGAGATAAAACAATGCCATCAAAACTGTTGCAATTGTAAGTTATAGTTTTCACGCTCGTAAGTTTAATTTTAAACCTGAAATTGTATATTAATTCGTTAACTATTTTTGTACTAGGGTCTCGAAGCTTCCATGCTTGAGAAAGGCGGAAAGAGATATTGAGTTGTCAAACCACAAGAACCTAAAAAAAGTTATTAGAGGATCTCTTTGCTTCTAGTGATGGAGAATCTCATCCTATTCATTGTTACTCTGCTGATAACCTCATCAAGGCAACCAACAACATCCATTCTTCTCACCTTCTAAACCCTAAACCCTTGTACAAAAGGATTCATGTGGAGCAAAAAATTATGGAGGTGACATGTGGACTTTTGGGTTAAAAGAATAAAATAATCCTCGAGGCATACCAGGATTTCCACGTGCATGCAACGGACAATAACGGTTCAATCAAGGAAGAGTCAAATGTGATCAATATGGTATTTATTCAAATCTCTCTCACCACTCCTCATCAATTTCTTATTGATTTTATTCAAAAGGTAACTCCCAAAACTTCCTATTTAATTTAGGAATAATTGCATGTTAATTGCAAGATATTATTTCACATAATATCTTGCAATTATTCTCCAATTACCATCTATGGCCAGTCAGTCCTCACCCTAAGGGCCAACCACCCTCCTATAAATACACCACTTATCCCACTAAAATGCTAAGTCATTTGCCATCCACAAACTCCTATTACATTCTTTTTAAAATTCTAACTTTGGCATCGGAGATTCTTCGGCCAACCCCCCTCCCCCCTCCCTCATTCATCGTGGGCGTGTGAGACTTTTGGCCTTAATCTTAGATGTTATTATTTTACATGTGCTTTTCAAAACAATATATAACAAATGGAAAGAACTTTTAAGAACATAAGAAGAAATAGATACCGAAAAAGAAGCAGAAGCTTTTAGAAATAACACTTTACATCTCTTGAACCCTAAAAAATTATATAAAATGGGACAACGGTTTAGTTCATTATCAAGAACAGATAATAAGAGTAGTAGACAAAAAGGATGTCAGTAGAATTAATTTAGTAACCAAAGAATCTTAGGACAAAATGGATAGAAAATATAATTTTATATCTTGGAACAATAGTAGTAGGATTCAAAAGTTTAACCAGACTGCAATCTGGGGTGAAGGTTTTAATAAGTATTTTAGATGCAAGATACAGACAACTAGACGCAGCCACAATCGAGATGATGAAATTGCTATGTCAGAAAATGCTAGAGTAATCTATTGTCAACCAGAATTTATGCTCCCATTCAAAGACTTTTACAAATATATTCAAATTTCGGTCAAATCTATAAGATACGATATGATAGAAACTAAGGACAACTTACTACCATGCGTAGGCTTTACAGGAAAATTACAAGTTAGCAATACTAAAACTAGACTAGATTTGAATAAGAATCTAGATATATTTCAAAGTAAAGGTATTTCAGTACTCAAAGCCAAGAAGGCCAATATGTTAAAACTAGAAGAAATAGAATGAAATGTATCGATTATTTTAGGAGAAACCAATATAAGAGACCCTACAGAATTTCATTTATATAAGCAATATCATGGAAATCAATTAGTAAGATTCAGCACGTATAGGCCAATCAGACAAATTAATAATGAAGAAGAGTCAGATCAAGCGTAGAAGTGTGAGTTCTATAACTTTTATCCGCAGAATTTTTCTTAGTTATAGAATGGACACATGTCTAGTTACCCACGATGGTACCACCCAAATTGGCCAATCATTCATCAGGATTTAAAAGCCAGCTGTATTTTCTTTGGCCATTATTATGTTCCCAAACTCTGTAACTTCTCACACTCCATAACAATTCCTCCTATGAAATCACACGTTGATGATAAGGTGAAGGACATTTGGGTACCTTGATCCTTCCTTCATGAAGTCTGGTTACATTACAGAAAAAAGTGATGTCTACAGCTTTGGTGTGCATTTACTTGCATTCTTGACTGGACAAAAAGCTGTAGATAAATATGACGCAGGAGAATACCAATCGATTATTGTATATGTGAAAGTACATGCTAGAGATATCGGACAGATTCAGACAATTGTGGACCCTAAAATATTTGGGGAGATAACGGGAGATGGACAAGTACAACAGCACTTGCACGATTTTCTAGCATTAGAATTGCTATGCACCCAAGATAAAAGTGAACGAATGCCAGATACTCTAGCATTAGAATTGCTATGCACCCAAGATAAAAGTGAACGAATGCCAGATACGATAGACGTGGCTAAAGAACTCCTCTAAATCGAGAAGTCTATTAACCAAAGATATATGTGCATGGGTATTTTAGTCATATTGTGTATAAGTTAGCTAGGCGGTTAAGGTGTTTAGCTTTCTTAGTTATTAAGTGTTGACAGCTGTAAGTTTGTTTTTATCTTTTATAAATAGGTATATACATCACTGTAAAGGTGTGCAAGTACTCATTCAGTTAATACAACAACTTCTTTTTCAAGATATAATTTTCTCTCTACTTTGAGTTTCGTTGTTCTTCGTTCTCATATTTTCTTGCTTTGTATTGGAGACTTTATGGTTTCATCTGCCATGGCTATGATGGTATCCAGAGCTAAGGTTCAGTAAACTGGTGAAGAGGATCCTGGTTTGCTCATCAGGCTTAAGGTTTTTCTGCGGCATCTCTGAGCTGTTTGTGCACTGAATCTTGATCTGCTTGGATTGGGATCTTCGATCTTTGTTGCAATATCAGGTTTTTCTGCTTTGATCTTCAAAATTGAGTCGTTCCTTAGTATAATTGTGGAATTGTGAAGAATTATGGATGTGTGGCTTGATGTGATGATTTCTAAGGCATGAAGCCTATAATTGTTTGATTTTATCAATTTGCAAAGTATTGATTGTCTCTTGAGCACGAAGCTCCTTGATTACTGGTGATTGATTTGAGCATGAAGGTTCTTATTGTTTCTTGATTGGTGGCGGCTTTTCTGATTTGTGTGAGCACGAAGATTTGTGTCTCTTATTCGGTTTAGTTTGGAAGGAATAAGTGGATATTGCTTGTGAGTACGAAGCTCTTCACTAAGTTGCAATTTTCTTGTAGTTGTTTTTTTTTTCCCTGATTGAAATATAATCTTCAGTTGAAATTACTGTGTTCTTGAAATTTTGGAGTTATGGCGATGAATATGATAAAGGTTGAAACTATACTTGGAATGTTAACAATTAGACTTCAGGAGGATAATTTTGTGAAGTGGTCATTTCAGTTTAGATCTGTTCTTGAAGGAAATGATATGTTTGATCATTTTGATGGTACCTCTGTCTGTCCACCAAAGTTTGTCTTTGCTAAAGACAATGGTATAACTACTGAAGTTACAGTAGCTTATAAAGAATGGATTAAAAGAGATCGGGCTCTTGTGAGTCTATTGCTTGCTACTTTGGGAGATGAAGCAATTGAATATGTTGTAGGCTGTAAAACTGCACATGAAGCTTGGATGAATCTGCAAGATAGGTATGCTACTATTTCGAGAGCAAGAGTGAATCATCTCAAGACTGAGTTACTAACAATTAAGAAAGGTTCTGATAGTGTTGAGAAATACATGTTGCGAATCAAGGTTCTTAAGGATCTTGCAGCAGGAGAAGTTGTATCTGACAATGATCTTATTGTTGCTACTTTGGTTGGATTGCCAGCAAAATTTAACATGATCCGTACTGTAATTTTGGCTCGTGAAACTCCTATTTCTTTTAAAGAGTTTTGAGCTCAATTATTGGCAGCAGAGAGGACCGCTAAAGATTAATAATCTACAATGAATTTTTCTATGTCAGCTATGTATTGCCAAGGTGAATCTTCAAATGCTAATTCATCACAGAGTCAAAGATCGTCTCAACAATTTTCTGGTGGTTATGGTTTTGTTAGTGGTGCTAATGCTAATTCTCCGAATAATACTCAAAGGCTAACTGGAGGAATTGTGTCTTAGGCTTATTTGCCTCATTTTCATCAGCAAAATAATGCAAATTCTAAGAATAATAGGAGCTATCAGAATTATGGAGGTAACAATGGAAGGTTTAACAACAGGCCAAGGTATAATGGGAACAATAATGGCAGGTTCTCAGGGAATTCAAATTTCTTTGCTAGAAGCACAAGTAATAATGGAAACTTTAATTTTGGATTTAAAGGTGGTTCAACTTGGCAGAATTGGAATGGCAATACTGGTTCCAGAACAACATTGATTCTTGAATGTCAGATTTGTAATAAACGAGGCCATACTGCTCCTAATTGTTACTCACGGTATGATGCGAGTTCCTGTTCAGCTCCTCCAGTTATGTAATGTCAAATTTGTGGAAAGAAAGGCCATACTGCTCTCAACTGCTATCACAAGTTCAATTATGCATATCAAGGTGCTCATCCATCTCCTTCTTTGACTGCACTTATTGCACAAGCTCAGCAGAATTTCGTTTCTTCATCATAGCGAAATTGGGTGTTAGATACAAGAGCCACCCACCGTATGACTGCTGACCTTGATAATTTGACACTTGTGACACCTTTTGAGGGTAATGACAGGATTACAGTAGGCAATGGAGAGGGACTTCCTGTTGCTAACACTGGTTTGGGTTCTCTTTTAACCTCTTCAAAACCTTTAACTCTTCAAATGGTTTTACATGTTCCACAGTTAGCAACTAGTTTATTATCAGTTTATAGACTATGCAAGGATAATCATTGTTATGTTATACTTGATGAATTTGGTTTTTGGGTGCAGGATAAGGCAACCAAGAAAATCCAAATGAGAGGAAGGAGTAGGAGTAGTAGTAGTGACTTGTATTACATTCCTCAGCAGCATTTATACAAATATTCTCAGCTAATGAATAATACACCTTAAGCTTTGCTGGGGCAACTTGTTAAGACATCTATCTGGCATCATAGACTTGGGCATCCCACCAATGAGGTTCAACTCAAAATGCTTAAGGACTCTCATATTTCTGTTTCTCTAGATAAAAGTCCACAGTTGTGTTCAGCTTGTATTAGGGGTAATATGTCTAGACAACCATTTCCTTCTAAGTGTAATAAGTCAAGCATTCCTTTTGAAAAAATGCATACTGATGTATGGGGACCTTCACCTACTGTTTCTTTGGAAGGTTACCGATATTATGTAATTTTTGTTGATGAATGCACAATGTTTACTTGGATCTTCCCACTTGTTAATAAGTCTGATGTGTACACTGTATTGGTGAAATTTCAAGCCTTTGTTCTTAATCATTTCAAAACAAATATTAAGACTTTACAATCTGACGGGGGAGGAGAGTACATGAGTAAAGTGTTTAAGACTTTCTTGGATATCAATGGTATTTTACATCTTGTTTCTTGTCCATATACCCCTCAGCAGAATGGTCTTGTAGAGAGGAAAAATAGACATATTGTTGAAACTACTGTGACATTACTCATTGCTACTTATTTACCTCAACAGTTCTGGTTTCATGCGTGTAGTCGTGCAGTATTCTTGATAAATAGAATGCCAAGTCAGAATTTAGAAATGATACCACCCTATATGAAGTTGTTTGGACAATCACCTTCTTTAGGGTCATTAAAGGTCTTTGGTTCTGCAGTTTTTCCTTATTTGAGACCTTATAATGTAAATAAGCTACAAGCACGAAGTGTTGAGTGTGTATTTTTGGGATATTCAGTAGGTTACAAAGGAGTATTGTGTTTTAATATACCTACAAAAAGGCTATTGTTGTCTAGGCATGTCATTCCTGATGAAAGTGTATTTCCTTTTAAGACATCACAGTCCGTAAATGTTACTTCATCTGTGCCTACTTCATCTACACAAAGAAAGTTACCTAGAGTAATTTCTGTTGTGTTGTCAAATGGATCTAATCAACATGGGGTGGATAATGTGGTCAATGATCAAGATATGGATCTGCACTCTGTTTCTTCTTAATCTTCTGGTACAGTATCAGGTTCAGGATTGTTACCATTACAAGCTACTACTCTACATCAAACTTCTTCTTCTCCAAGGTTGCCTGTCTATAACCCTTCCCAAATTCAGGTAACTTCCAACTCTGAAGACCTATCTCCAAATGTTTGTTCTACATATGATAATATGGTTGTTACATCATCTATTTCTCTTGATGATGTGGCTGGTACATCTTCTGTTTCTCTTCATGATGTCAATGATCTTGTGATTCATAATGATGTAATTAATGTGCCTTCTAAGCTTAGTATGGTTACAAGATTAAAAAGTGGAGTTCTACAAAGGAAGGATTATTCTGGTTATTGTGCTTCTATATCCATGACTCTTCTTTATCATCTGATGATGATATTGTATTTAGTGGTTTTACTGCTATACTAGATATTCATGAGTCTTCAGAACCAACTCATTACAAGCAAGTTGTTACTTCTGAGAATTGGAGGAATGCAATGAAGGAAGAATTTGAAGCTTTGCAAAAACAAGGTACTTGGGAATTAGTACCAGTTCCACAAAATAGAAATGTCATAGGCAGCAAGTGGGTATATAAGATTAAGAAGGATCAAGATGGAAAGGTGTCCAGATATAAGGCAAGGCATATAGCTTAGGGTTTTAGCCAAGAACATGGTCTAGACTATGAAGAAACGTTTAGTCCAGTGGTCAAACACACAACAGTAAGGCTAATCTTGTCACTTGCAGCAATGAACAAATGGGATTTAAGGCAATTAGATGTGAAGAACGCCTTTCTTCATAGAGAATTACAATAAGAGGTGTTTATGAAACAACCTCAAGGTTTCCAAGATTCTCTATATCCTACTCATGTCTGCAAATTACTTAAGTCTCTATATGGACTAAAACAGGCTCCCAGAGCTTGGAATGCCAAGTTTACAAGTTATCTACCTACTTTGGGATTTCAATCTTCTCATTCTGATCCTAGTTTGTTTGTGAAGATCAATGGTTTTGATGTAGTGATCTTGCTACTGTATGTTGATGATATTATCATCACGGGGTCTTCTTCCAAGCTAATATAGCAAGTAATTGATGATTTAGCCAGTGTACTTGATATGAAAGATATGGGGAAGTTAACCTATTTTTTGGGTTTGCAAATAACCTACAGAGACAATGGAGACATCTTCATTAATCAGTCTAAATATGTTACTGATCTTCTAAATAAGGCTGGAATGATGCATTGCAGACCCTGTTCAACGCCGAGCAAGCGCCACACTCAATTATTGAAGGATGAAGGGAAACCAATGGCTAACAGTTTACAGAAGTTTGGTTGGTGTATTACAATATCTAACCTTCACTAGGCCTGATATTGCTTATGCAGTCAATTATGCATGCCGGTTTATGACAACTCCAACTGAAGAACATTTTTGTTTGATTAAAAGAATTCTTCGATATCTTAAAGGTACGTTGCAGTGTGGATTGACAAATTCTGCTCAGGGACAAATGAAATTACTTGGTTATAGTGATGTAGACTAGGTTGCTGATATAAACACCAGAAGGTCTACCACAGGATACATTGTATTTATCGGTTCAAACCCTATATCATGGCAGTCCAAGAAACAAGGAAGTGTGTCTCGCAGCTCTACTGAGGCAGAGTATAAAGCATTAGCTAATGCTGTTGCAGATGTAGCTTGGATTAGATTATTTCTCAAAGACTTTCATGTTTTTCTTCCATCTGCACCGTTGTTACATTGTGATAATCTTTCAACGTTAGCCTTATGTTTAGTTTTTCATACTCAGATTAAACACTTGGATACTGATTTTCATTTTGTTCGTGAAAAAGTTCAAAATGGAGATCTAGCGGTTCAATATATTCCTACCGAAGCTCAGGTTGCAGATGTCTTGACCAAAGGTTTACACAGTCCTTTGTTTGTTCATTATTGTACCAATCTCAGACTGGGTTATCCCATTTGAGATTGAGGGGGAGTATTAACCAAAGATATATGTGCATGGTTATTTTAGTCATATTGTGTATAAGTTAGCTAGGCGGTTAAGGTGTTTAGCTTTCTTAGTTATTAAGTTTTGACAGCTGTAAGTTTGTTTTTATCTTTTATAAATAGGTATATACATCACTGTAAAGGTTTGCAAGTACTCATTCAGTTAATACAACAACTTCTTTTTCAAGGTATAATTTTCTCTGTACTCTGAGTTTCGTTGTTCTTCGTTCTCATATTTTCTTTCTTTTCAATGGAGATTTTATGGTTTCATCTGCCATGGCTATGAAAGTCTAACTAGTAAAGTCTGGATAGTGGTAAGGCAATGTAGTAGTTTACGTGATTGTCATTGTTGGATCCTAAAAAGGGGTGAAAAGGTAGTTTGGCATTGAATGGTAGGTTTTTAACAAACGGAACTCATTTCGGCACACTCATTTTCTCCTTCTACATACCTTTATGTATTTATTTATTTTCCTTAATTCCCCTTTGATTTATTTAGCCCAAAGGCTAAAAATAACCAACGGTGTGAAGGAGGAGAATATGGTATGCGAAACTCACTTTCTAGTTCCTTCTAATTAAAGGTGTGATTATACATTCTAATTTTCTAATTCCTTTTTTTTTTCTTTCCTTATAAGTGATTGATTGTCTTTTTCTTTCCTAGCTGAAAAAGAAAAGAAAAAGTCTCTGTCTTTGCGTTCGACCATTATTTAAGGTCTTGAACTTAATCAAAATTTTCATATGTTGAACAAGAATACTTTTATTAGTATTTAGTAACACATAACTGGAAAAAGAAAAATCTCTCATCCATTTTTGTTGTTTAGCTAATTTTGCGAGTAAACGTTCTATCCATAAGCTTTTCATGGCACCAGGGAATTAGGAGAGAGATTTTTACATCTCAAAATTTATTTTTCATTTTTGGCCAATAAGAAAGATGTATAGTTTCACTAATTATTTGTGTGTTACATACGCATATATATTTTTACCAGGTTCTCAAAGCTGCCATTTTTTAGAAAGAAGGAACAGAGTCATCATACTAGAAGAATCTAAGCAAATTATTAGAAGATCTCATTGCTTCTTCTGATGGAACATCTCATCCGATTCAATGTTACTCTGCTGTTGACATCGTGAGGGCAACCACCAGCTTCCATCCTACTCGCATTGTACGAGAGGAATCACACTACAAAATGTTGAGGGGATTTCTAGATGGCCGATCAATTATCATCGCAAAGTACATCATCGGCATCCATAAGGATATACCTAAGTCTCGGGCTATTCGTGACATTGTCATTTCAATACAGATGAGCAACTATGAGAATATTTTGAAACTCTTGGGCTGCTGCTTCGAGGTCCCTGCACCAGTTATGGTGCATGCATATGCAGCAAAAAGAGTTCTTAATGGTGATGGAAGTTTAAGAGGGGATAGTGAAGATCATCTTAATAATCCAGCGGAAGGTTCAAGAAGAAGGAAGCTGTAGAAATATATATTCAGAGAAAGAGCACAGTAAACATGAAGCAGTAATATTGGTAGAAATCATACTTTTCCATTACTCATAATCAGATATAAATATACAAGTTTACAAAAGTCCTAAAGGGATTGTGTAGCTCCCAATACAAATCCTTACGAGATGACAAATCTCTAAGATAAAGGAATAATATACAGAAGATAATTATGGAGACTATGACGACGTGAAAGACTCTTTACTAACACCCCCCCCCCCCCCCGGGAAACTGGGCATCGCAGGATGAACAAGTTTGGACCGAAGCAAGGTGTGGTGCGCTTTGAGCAATCCTTTCGTCAACAAGTCTGCAGGCTAATTAATGGACGGTAGAAATCGAACCTGGTGGCTAACCAGAGCCGCATTTTCACGGACAAAATGATAATCAAGTTCAATATGGCGGGTGCGGGCATGAAAAATGGGGTTGGCAGCCATATATGTTGCACTGAGATTGTCATAGTGAAGATAGACAGGGAATGAAGTGTTGACACTAAGCTCATGGAACAAGTAGGTGAGCCAGGTTGTATTTAGATTCGGCACTTGAACGAGAGATAGTAGGCTGCCTCTTGGAGCACCAAGACACTGAGTTAGCCCCGTGGTAAATCAAATAACCAGTGATGGAGCGGTGTGTGTCAAGACACCCAACCCAATCCGCGTCGGAATATGCAGAGATACGAGAGGAAGCAGGCTAGGGGCGAAGAAGTAGACCTTGATCAATGGTGCCTTTAACATAGTGTAATATGCGTTTGACGGCCAACATGTGTGTGGAAAGGGGGTTGCTCATGTACTGAGCAACGGTGTTAACAGAAAACGATATATTAGGGCGGGTTAATGTTAAGTATTGCAGGCAACCCACTAATATGCGATATTTAGTTGGAGAAGACAAAGGCACTCCATCATGGGCGGACAATGACAGTTTGGCAGCAACAGGGGTTGAACACGGTTTGCACTCCAACATGTTGGCCCTTGTTATTAAGTCAGAAGCATATTTGACTTGGAAAGATGCATACCGTGTGGACTGGTGTGTACTTGAAGACCCAAGAAATAATTAAGGGGTCCGAGATCCTTCAGTTCAAACGCATGACACATACTGTGACAAAGTGTTGCAAGAGGGAAGGATTGTTGCCAGTTAAGATGATATCGTCAACATATAAGAGTAATCACATACGATGAGGGCCGTGATTATAAATGAAGAGTGAGTTATCAGCTTTACTCTGGAGGAATCTATAGCGAAATAGATAGGAGCTAAAATGGTGAAACCAGGCCCCTGCTTAAGACCATAGAGTGTTTTGGTGAGACGACAAACATGATAAGGACGTTGAGGATCAATAAAACCAAGGGGTTACGATGTGTAGACTTCCTCCTTCAAATAGCCATGCAGAAAAGCATTTTTCACTTCGAGCTGACAAACAGACCAATGATTGGAAATAGCAAGGTTGAGAATTGTTCGTATAGTTGCAGGTTTGACCATAGGGCTGAAAGTTTCATCGTAGTCAATTCCTGGTTGTTGGTGAAAACCCTTTGCCCTAAACGTGCTTTGTATCTGTCGATGCTACCATCAGTGTGCCGTTTTATGCGATAAACCCACTTGCAACCGACTTTGTTTTGGGTGGGTAATGGTGGAACAAGAACCCAAGTATTATTTTTAAGAAGTGCATTAATTTCCTCGGTCATGGCAGCCCGCCATTCAGGTTTGCGAGCAGCCTGTGTAAAGCATGTGGGTTCATCAGTGGTAAGCGAAACTGAAAGAGCATGAGGGAGAGGATACCAAATAGAGCCATCAGTCTTTAGTCCGGGTGACCATATGATGAGATGGAAGCACAGGTGGTGGCAATCGGGATTGGGTAGTTAGGGGCTGCGGTGGAGAAGCAGTAAGAGTATGTGGGGCATTGACATGTGGCGTCGAAGGGCCATCATTGGAGGAGGGGCCCACGGGACCAAGAGAGGAAGGGATAAGCAATGAGTAAGAAGATTGTGGGATGACAGTAGGATGAATTTCCAGCTCCACGTATGTGGTTGGTGGGTGGCCGAGAGAGGTTGCAAAGGGAAAAACAGCCTCGTTGAACACTACATGGCGGGAGATATAAATACATCCAGTAGTCATATCAAGGCACCTGTAACCTTTATGAGAGGCATTGTAACCCACAAAAACACGTTAAAGAGAACGTGGCATTAGTTTATCATGAATATAATCCCGAAGGTATGGAAAACACATACATCCAAAGGTACGTAGGTGGTAGTAAGTGGGTGACCGACCAAAGAGAAGTGTGTAGGGAGTGGACCAGTTAAGGGTAGAGGTGGGGAGAAGATTTATGAGATGGACAGAAGTGAGCGTAGCTTCCACCCACAAGGTGAGTAGGGCATGAGCTGTAGTAAGCAGTGTGCGAGTCATATCAGCGATATGACGGTGCTTACGCTCAGCAAGGCCATTTTGTCGGGGTGAGTGTGGACACGAAAGATGGTGTTGGATTCCTAATTGACAACAAAATTCAGAAAATGAGTGATTGACATATTCGATGCTGCCATCACTTCGTAAATATTTAATAGATGTGTTAAATAGGTTACGAACCATTGCAACAAAGGTTTGGAAATGTGTAAAGACTTTAGACTTCTTTTTCATGGGGTAAATCCAAGAATAACGAGTATAATTGTCAGTGAATAATACGTAATAACGAAAGCCAGAAACAGAGGTAGTAGTGGACATCCAAACATCAGAATGTATAATATAAAATGGAGTAGTAGCCCTTGCATTATTTAATTGAAAAGGAAGTTGTGTGGACTTGCCTAAAGCACAACTTTTACAAAAAAAACTTGGAAGAAAATGACTTAAAGCCTAAACTAGAGCTAAGACGAGACAAAATCGAGGATGAATGGTGACTGAGACGGTGATGCCAAGGGGTGAAGGATGAAACGGCAAGGGCCTGTGGTGAGGAGAGTGATAATGGATAAAGGCCATCTCTACATGGGCCCTGAAACAATAAAGCATCAGTGTGTAAATCATAGATACGATAGAAGGACGGAAAGAAACAAATAACGACATTGTTATCATGTGTAAAGCGTGCAACAGACAAGAAGTTTTTACGTAAGGACAGAACAAGAAAGACATTACGAAGATTAAACGGAATAGACTTAAGAGAAATAGGAATTGTAACAGTGGATGTAATGTTTAAAGAATCACCATTACCCAATTGAACGGAGTTAGGACCACGATAAGACTGTGGATGGGGGAGGGCATTAGGATCGCCCGTCATGTGGTGGGTAGCGCCGGTGTCGTGAAACCAAATGTTGAGATCCTGATAAAAAACCACCTGAGAGCCCGCAAAAGGGGGAAAAGGTTCTAGGCCGCCATAGCGATGTGGACAGTGTGCAGCACTATGCTGTGAGGTGTAGCAAGTGTGGCACCAAGGGCCGGGGCCCAGTAAACTAGAGGTGGGGCGCCCAAAGAACCCACGCGGGCCTGGCCAATAAGAGGGATTAGAGGGCCCATGCGAAGGTTACGGAAAAGGTTGCTTAGAATTGAATGGATGAGGCCCATTCCATTGTTGTTGTTGATTGCGGGGATTGGTATTCCTGCTAGGACGCCAGCTGGAGGCATGACGCTACGGACCACTGTTCCGTTGGGGACGGCCGTTCTAGTTGCTATTGCGACTGCCAGAGGACTGAGAAGAAGCACGAGCTTGGTGAGTAATAATGAGGGGAGTTTGCAAAGCGGCAGTAGTGGTGGAGGTGTGAGGGTTCTGAAGATCAAAAGCTTCAATCTTAGAGGTCAACTCATCAAAGGTAAGAAGGGGGTGACATTGATGATAGTAGTGGTAAGGGTAAGGTAGTCAAATCTAAGACTACGGAGAACAGCGGTGATGAAGTCTTTAGGATCGACGAGACGGCCGATAGCAGCGAGTTTATCAGCAAAAGATTAAGCATGCTGAAGATAGTCAGTAATAGAGCGAGATCCTTTGGAAGGATCAAGCAGTTGGTAATGCAAGGTAGCGGAGTTGAGAATAGAGCCGTGGGCTAAGCGCCGTTGAAGACAGGCCCAAACTGCTTGGGTGGAGTCATGGCCCACGACGAGAGCAAGGACGGGTTCTGTCAAGGTAGTAGTGATGGAGCTTACGACCAACTGATCGTGTTGGTACCATAGGGTAAAAGCGGGGTTGGGAATGGTAAAGGTAGTAGTCACGGAAGAACTATGGGAGTCAGAAGCGGCAAGGGAAGAGGTGGTAGTGACGGTGAGGGTGGTCGATGGGGGTGGGTGGGAGCCATCAACAAACTTCCACAGATCATGACCAACAAGAAATGGCTTGATCTGACGAAGCCACGTGAGGTAATTGGAGTTATTGAGTTTGAGAAACTGGGCAATAACAGGTCCAGGAAGTGGAGAGGTAGATGACATGATGAGAAGTAAGATCGAGAAAGGTTGTTAAGCCAGGGAAAGGGATGATACCATGTAGAAATATATATTAAGAGAAAGAGCACAGTAAACATGAAGCAATAATATTAGTGGAAGTCATACTTTTCCATTACTTATAATCAGGTATAAATATACAAGTTTACAGAGAGTCCTAAAGGGATTGTGTAGCTCCCAATACAAATCCTTACGGGATTACAAATCTCTAAGATAAAGGAATAATATACAGAAGATAATTATGGAGATTATGACAAAGGTAAAGACGCAAAGGTAAAGACGTGTATAAACTGTTTTTCATTACTCTTGTCAAAGACCAAAATACAATTGTTATCTCTCTAACTATATATAGTAACCAGAAAACTTAATGACTAAGAAATCTTATAACTACCAAAAGATACAAGATTGTGACTAAGAAATCTTTAAGGTTCATCACACTCAATGCGCACTCTACTCATACTTTTACACTAATTTATTTGTACTTTTACACATTATTTCCATATTACGGTTTCGTCACGTTCCAGATGTCAGTCTGCGTCCCTCGATTTTGGTGTCCCTGTGGATATCTGCGTTGGGGTGTGTCACCAATTGTGTTGTCTTCGTTTTAGACTTAAAAATTCGTTACACGTGAGGAAGCGTGTTGAGAGTGAATCTCACATCAGAAAAAGAGGGATCTTGCATGTGCTTATAAGTATTTGAGCTACACCTCATATTACCAATTAATTTTATAATGAAACCTCAACTTTTTCACCAACTGCCCTATGATCATCCTCCTTCTGTAAATGAAGATTCGTGATAAAACTTTGTAGATGTTTTCTATTTTCGAAAGTTCGATGAAACTTCCAATGACCACTGCTTCTTCATGAAAATTACATCGTGGGGTTCTACGGATATGTCTTACTTTCCAGCTCCTTTTTTTTTGTTTGTGTGTAATTGACAATTTTTTTGTCTGGTAACGAAAAAACAAAATTACTAGTTTCATTTAGTTTTCTTTGGCCGGCAGATACCACTGCATGTCATTCTTCACAGCGCGGATCATTCGATGCCACCGTGGACCTTACAAAGCATAATAAAATTCAACACTGATTATGGGAGTAGCTACAACTTCTGCTCTGCTTGCACAGACCATCTGCAGTGGATTCGCTTGAGAAATTGATCGATTACTGTTTACTTGGTGCAATCCAATTCCAACCCTAAGAGGCCTTTGGTGGTATACAAGTATCAGTTGAGATAAAACAATGCCTTCAAAACTGCTGCAATTTAAAGTTATAATTTTCATTCTCTATAGAGCTTTAATTTCGAACCGGAATTCGTATTTTAATTGGTTAACTATTTTTTGTACCAGGATCTCAAAGCTGCCGTGCTTGAGAAGGGAGGAAAGAGATATTGAGTCATCATACTACAAGAACCTGAGAAAATGATTAGAGGAACTCATTGCTTCTTGTGATAGAGAGTCTCACCCTATCTGTTACTTTGCTGATGAGCTCATGAGAGCAACCACAATTTCTGTTCATCTCGCCTTGTAAAAAGTGGTTCATACTACGAAATGTTCAGGGGATTTCTAGATGGCCGATCAATTATCATTACAAAGTACATGGTTAGGTCTTACAGTTGTCATTTCGGTACAGATGAGCACCCATGAGAATGTTTTGAAACTTGCTTAGAGCTTCCTATACCAGCTCTGGTGCATGAATATGCATCAAAAGGAGTTCTCAACTCTGATGGAACCTTAACAGGAGCTAATTGTTGGAGAACAATTCATAAATAAATAAAAAATAACAGAACTCGAAATTGTAGAATATTTATTGATCAAAATACATGTTGTGCATAATGAAATACAAAAATAAATACAAGAATATCAATGGTACTAACGTGATTACAGAAGGTAGAGGTTAGTGTAATAGCTATGTCCTTCGAACAGTATTTCCGTCCCACTCTTGTGCTTGTGGTTCAACAATGTCTGCAAGACTAGGATTCAAGTACCAAATTTACAACCCGCACTGGATTCTAGAACTCTAGCGAATTTGCTTTGTGTGTTTACTCTCTGGAAATTTCGTACGGAAGAAAGGAGGAAGAAAAGATGGTCTAGAATGGAACTGAGGACTCCAGCTATATAGGCTCTTTCATACCTCTTCAAATACCTTTTGGATGTATATGAAGCTATATACAACTCTTTCCAAAGAGTTGTGTCTATTAATCAAAACGTTTTTAATTAAATTTTAATTAAAAACTTAACTCGAAAATTAAAACTAATTGATCAGATTAATTTTAATTATTAGGCCCCAAGTGCCCCAAGGCCCTTCTCTTGATTAATTAATATTAATTTATATTAATATTATGGTATAATCATCAAGCCTAATCCACATAATTGGTGGTCCAAGCCTCAAACCCATTCCAAATGGTCCAACACCTAATTAATATTGTAGAGGACAAAACATATATAAAGGTCATTGGGAATCTTGTTTTCTCCAATGTGGGACAAGAATCTCAAAACTCTAACACTAATTACCGTAAACTTCTATTACCATGGAATACTAGATTGCGTATTGCCAAGCAAATTATTAGTGCAGTTACATATCTCCATACCGCTCTACTAAGGCGCATAATTCATTGGGATCTGAAACCCCACTGCATTTTCTTGGACGACGACTATACTCCCAAGCTCTCACACTTCTCTCTCTCCACAACAATTCCTCCTAATCAATTGGATGTTGAAGTTGATTGCGTGCTAGTGATAGGAGCATATTTATGCGACTTAGTTAGCTTGTTTTCTTGCATTTTCATAGTTAGTTTCTGTTTATTATAGCAATTTAAGCTATTTTCGTGTGTTTGTAGGTTCAAATGACAAAGTTGGCAAGAAAGTGCAATTTGGAGCATTTTGGAGCAGTTTTGGGCCAAGAATGGATAGCATATGAATGGAGCAAGGTGGATGGATGTTTTTGAAGTTCAGGCTAGGAATGTGCTGAAAAGATGAACAAAATAAATTCAAGACAAAGAAGATAAGGAATCAACTAAAAAGAAGGAACATTATCCAAAACCTTATCCAACCTTATCCTATCTAAACTAACCTTATCTTATCTTATCATATCTTAAGCTTATCCTACCTTAATTCCAACTGCAATGTGGAATCAATTTCATATTAGATCACCTAAAAACATGGTTCTAGAAGCCCTATCACTTATCCTAAGAATGTGTCGCACCTAGCCTTCTAGAAATCATATTTCCTGCTGCAAAGAACAATCATTTTCCTCCCTGGAATCTGAAATTGAATAGTCCTTATTCCTTGATGATTTGGAGTCCTAATTCTCCTCCTACTCACCCTAGCCATGCCTTACATTCTCCTTATAAATATAAAGTGCCGCATCATTCAGAAATCACCCACCATTCACCATAATTTCGCACCATACACACTCATATACATACATCCCTCTAGTGCCGCAACTTTGCAAGGAGAAAGGAGAGGAGACCCCTGGAGCCGTTCTTGCCATTCAAGATGTTGGGTTGTTGGGGCGTTTTCTAGGTGTATTCTATCTTTGCTTTCAATGTTTAACTTTAATTGGCTTTGTTTAATTGCGAACATGAGGAACTAATTTCATTATAGTTAGAGGAGAATTCAAAGCCATGAACATATAAGTGATATGAATTGATTACATCTAGTTATGATTTCATAAACCGTGAATGCAATTCACTTATCTGTTTGATTGATAACTTATTCTTGTGTGTTAATTAAGGATGCATACTTAGTTTGCATACAAGGATTTGATGCTAGAATATAAGGGAATTTCACCTAATAGTTATGAACTTATATTCACAAGTAGTAGAGGTTGCTAGTCACGATCGTGTTAAGTAAGTTCTTGGCAGGAGTATCATGCTGTTCATAGTTACGAATGCTTTGTCAATGCTTATGATTTTCATAGAACTTAATGATCTTTGATATGTATCTCTATTATGTTGTTCATATAGGGAACTTGATAAGAATAATTTGGTTGTGTCGCTGAGTCTAATTCAATGAAATTAGGAAAATCTGAGGGTTAATTAGTGTTGTTCACGGTTAATCTGGGGCATTGTCATTCATGGTTTATCGGAAGAGTAACTGAAAATCGATTTGTATGCATGTGTCATGTGTGGAGAAGGACCTCTAACTAGCCATTCACCCTTAAAATCACAAATTTCGTCCAAAGTATTTAGAGTCTTTAAACCTGCTTAGTTTAAGTTTAAATTGGTCCAAAAACCAAACCCCCCCCTCTTTCTATTTCATGTTTTCTAGGTTAGAATCTGTCCAATTGGTGTCTTTTCATTGTTTTGAGTCTTGTTAGTTTAGAATTCGTCCAAAGTCATCCTTAGTGTTAGTTTGGAGTCAGTTTGCTTGTTTTGTGCCGTTTTAAGTAGTTTGAGTCAGTTTTGATTCCTAAGAGTCTAGTTTAATGTTTTCAAGCCTAGTTAAGTGTTTTGAGTTAAATTTGAGTAGATTAGCATCCCTCCTAATCCCCGGCCTAGAATGATCCCTATTTATCCATATATACTACAATTATCAAAAAGAGGATTTAATTTGTGTGCTAGTTTAATATCACATAAGCTAGGAACATTTTCATACATTGATCCTGTCTAAATCCGTTCTAACCGCATCTCAGAAAAATCAGATGTTTACAGCTTTAGCGTGATTTTACTTGTATTCTTCACCGGAAAAAAATGCTCCCTCCATAGAAAACTTGGAAGAAGGTTATAGTCAATTTTTGAGTATGTGGAATCGCATGCTGACCAGTTTGAAACAATTGTGGACCCGAAAATATTCGAGGAGGTAGGGGGTGATGAGCAAGTACTGCAGCAGTTGCATGATTTCCTACAACTGGCATTGTCATGCACTCAATACGAAATTGAAAGAAGGCCATATATGACCGACGTAGCCAGAGAACTCGTTCGAATTGACGAGTCTACTTTTCCTAGCTAGCTTTAATCCACATCTGTTATCATAAGTTCTGAATATCGGTTCAACAGCGTGATTGTGTTTGGAAGCCGATTAGTCTCTTCTGTAACAAATATTGGTCGTGTTGTTTTTAATTTGTTACTACTATATTCATTTTGCTATTAATTTGTAACAAATTTGTAAGATCAAGTCTCTTTGAATTTCTAGTGAACTTTTACGTTGCATATATAGCAATGAACCTGGAAACTGTAAAATACTATAGTCTCATTTAATTCAAAAAGTCACCTAATATAAATTGTCATATATATATATATATTTTAACAAATGATATTATTTACACTAAGGAGAATGAGATGGACTTAGGGCTGATTTGGTATTGTTGTGCTTTGAAAAAAAACTGCTATGAGAATAAGTGACTGTGAAATAAATCAGCAGAGTGTTTGGTAAACTTTTTTGTAAAAGTGCTTTTGGAAAAAAAAGCAGTCTGATAGTGGGTCTTTTCATTAAAGGAGCACTGTAGCTCCGTGTGCTTTGAAAAAACCAGTTTTCCAAAGTTGCAAATAGCAGCTTCAGCCTTTTCCTTTGATTTCAGCTTATTCTCATAGCAGCTTCCAAAATAAGCTCTTTTTTTTCAGTTTACCAAACACCTAAAACCCTCACAGCTTTTTTTCATGGGTGCTTTTTTTTTTAAGCACCTCACTCCCAAACCACCCCTTAGCCTCATAATGAGCTAGCACTAATGTGGTTTAAATTCGTCTTTGGCGAGAATCGAATTTAAGGCCTCTCACTTATAAGTGAAAAAGAATACTATTAGGCCGTAATACTAAGTGGCATAAATTACACTATATTATATATAAGGGGGAAAATATCTGCAGAAAATAACTAACCAAAAACATTATTTTCCTTCTTCATTCTCTACGTAACAAAATTATCTTCTCTAGTTTGAAGTGTTTGATAGTGTAAAATATAGTTTGGAATTCATTGCATCCACAAGGCTTGTTTAAACTATATGCCTCACTGGACTTACATGGACGTCTCCACGTAATACAAGACTTTTCAACCTTGTCCACATCATCAATGAAATAAGACAAGTTGCCACATCACCTCCTGACTGTGTGCACATATCAATCCCATTGCTCAAGAAGGTCAAAGTGACTACAAAATGAGGACTAGAGCTCCAAGAAAAGGAAGTTGCGGCAAAGGCAGCCAGAATTTTCAAACCAAACACATGAACAACATAATGGGATGACGTAGAGCGCGTGTGGTCATTTGGTTTCACACGTGGAACAATCAACTTTGGTACCATGAAAAAAGTTGAGGTTCCACCGTAAAACCAATTGGCAATATGGTGAGTAGCCCAACATTTTATAAGCTCATACAAGGTCCCTCCTTCCATCAATGTGGGACTCATTCTCAACATGCTCTCTCTTGTGTTGCGAATTTTTGAGCCTAACACATGGACAACACAATGAGATGACGTGGAACACATGTAGCCGTTTGGGTTCACATGTAGGGCAACCTACTTTGATACCATGAGGAAAGTTGGGGTTTCACCATAAAACCAATTGGTAATATGGGAAGTAGCCTAACTTGCTTATAAGCCCATGCAAGGTCTCTCCTCTCATCAATGTGGGATTCATTTTCAACACACCCTCTCACTTGTGGCGAATTTTCAAGCCTAACACATGGATAACACAATGAGGTGACGTGGAGCGCTTGTGGCCGTTTGACTTCACACGTGGAACAACCTGCTTTGATACCATGAAAAAAGTTGAGGTTCCACCGTAAAATCAATTGGCAATTGGGGAGTATCCAATGGAGTATAATTGCTGTATGCGCTGTTTTCACATACCATCTGCAATAGAATCAGTGGATGAATTGATCGATAACTGTTTAACATTGCGCACTCTGAACAATGCCATCCAAAGTCCTGTAGCTTTCCGTGGAGTTTCTTTCCTTTTGACTATTTTATCTTCTTTCCTGTGTATATATGTATATATTTTGTACCAGTTTCTCCTTGCGTCCAAGTGTAAGAAAGGCTGAAAGGGAGAGCTCATTCTTGAAAAATGGAAGCATGTTATTGGAGGATTTTATTGCTTCGTGTGATGGAAAATCTAGCCCTATTCACACATACTCTGCTGATGAGCTCGTCAAGGCAACTGACAATTTTGATCCTTCTTGCCTTATAAGTGAGGATTCATTCTTCCAACTGTTCAGAGGTTTCCTAGATGACGGCTCAGTTCTCATTAAGAAGTACTTCCAAGGGCCCTGGCCTATTGAGGTTGAAGTTACATCCATGGCCAGTCATGATATTATCATATTGATGCAGATGAGTACGCATAAGAACGTTTTGAAACTCTTGGGCTGCTGCTTAGAGTTCTCTATACCAGCTCTGGTGCTTGAATACGTAGCAAAAGGAGTTCTCGACCACCATGGATGTTTAGGGGATACTGAATCATTACCACGGAAAACTAGAATGCTAATTGCAAAGAAAGTTGCAAATGCACTTGCATATCTCCATACTGCCTTTTCCAGGCCCATCATTCATAGGGATCTAAACCCCACATGCATTTTCTTGGACGATGACTACTTTCCCAAACTCTCCAACTTTTCACTATCGATCACGATTCCTCCTCAACAATTGCACGTTGAAGATGATGTGAAAGGAACGTGAAAGGAACATATAGGTATGCTGACCCTACCTACATGGCAACTGGGTACATTACCGAAAAACAGATTTTTATAGCTTTGGTGTGGTTTTACTTGTATTCTTGATGGGACAAAAAATTCAGGATGTGGATTAAGCAGCAGCAGAAGGACCCATCAGTTCCTAAATAAGTGAAATTACATGCTTCCAATGGTCAATACAAGACAATTGTGGATCCTTGCATTCTTGAGAAAGTCAGGGCAGATGAGCAAGCACATCAGCAATTGATATTATACTATATATTTTACCCTAATCTTAGTATTAATTTATTGATTATTTTGTAGAATTTTAATACTTTGAATTGTATTTCCAATGTAGGACATTCGACTTCTTCTAGAGAAAAACATGATCAAACCGATGAATTTTGAAGTGATTCCAATTGGAAAGGGTTTGTGAGTCTTTCAAGATGATTGTATCAAAATTCCATAGTTTTCTACGAATCCGTTTGACCGTGGAGATGAAATAAAGGCCCAGCGCGCAATTTTCCCAGATTGATGTTTATAGACATTTTAGGCATTTTGAAGGTCAAGATGGAATGTTTTGAGGAAGATTCATCTTGGGAATTTGTAGGGGACATCTTAAGATTTCAAAAGAGACATTTTGGGACCAAATCGGAGTTGATTTGGTCGGTCAAAAGTCTAATTTTCTGAGAAGTCCGAATTTTAGTTCAAATAGGAAACCTTTAATTTCTGTTTTATTATTTTTATTATGTTTCCTGGTTTTATTCTAAGACCTTTTAGGCCTCGTTTGTTTGACCTCCTTAGCTAGGACTGGACTAGCTAGGACTAATAACCCATGTTTGGTGCAAGCCGGGATTGAGTTTAGTGGGATTAAGTCGGACTCGTGCCGACTAAATCCTTCGTTAGCTGGGCTTAGCGAGAGCCCCCGAAAATGAGGGGATTGCTAGTCCCGTTTCCCTGCTTCCCCTCACTTTGCCTCACCCCACACCTGAGAACTTGCCCTCCCACTGTCTTTCTCCCCACCTCCCTCTCATCTGTCCATAAGATCTCCAAGTCAGAGACCCAGAAAACCCAAAAAAGCCAAAAACCCAGAAAACTCAGAAATCGAAAGCAGATTCAACCCCATCTCCCACCTTCAAGCCACTCATGCATGCATTCCGCCGCCAACTCCTAAATTTTCATTTTCGTTCTTGCTCTTTGGTTTGATTTTAAGATTTGCAGGGGATTTTGTGAGAGGAATAGAAGAGGCAGAGAGAGATTTGCAGTGAAGAGGAAGAGAGGAAAAGAGGCAGAGGGAAGAAAAAGAGGGATTTGGACGGAATAGAGGCAGAGGGAAGAGAGAGAGAGAGGGATTTGGACGGAAAAAAGGCAGAGGGAAGAGAGAGAGGGATTTGGATGGAAAAGGATGCAGTGTGCGGACGAAAACATGAGAGAAGAAGATGATTAAAACTTGACCAAAATAATGTTTCTAGAAAGGAAAATGATTATTTAATAATAAAATATTAATATATATAAATTAAATTAATGATAAAATATTGTAAATATAAAATTTAATAATATAATATATGAGTCCTGCTTTTTAATCCGACACAGCACCAAACGCTTCACTAAGTTAATCCAGCTTAGTCTAGTCTAAGCCAGTCCAGCTTAGTCCCTGCAGCTAGTCCAGTCCGAGACAGTCCGGTGCAACAAACGCCCCCTTAGGGTTTTATTTTGTAGTGGTATAAATAAGGCTTTTTAGCCATTAGGGTTTTAACATTAGGAGAGGAGGAAACACATGCACACTTTAGAGAGTTTTTCAAGTTTATTTTCTAGGTGTTTTCTATCCTTATTCTTAATAATATTTTGTTTTATGATTGTTCGTAACTAGTTCTTTTGCTAGGGCGATGCCATGAGCCTTAGCATGAATATGTTAGCTTATGAATGGATGCATGCTTACTTTGAATTATTAATCATCACGATTAAAACTATCTAATTGTCTTAGTGATTCGCGACCATTAAGATTTTTAGACAAGTAATTTGATGCAATTTCTGTTGGAACATTACCCTGAAATTGAGGAGGGCTTCTTGTGATTAGTAATTGTAAGTTCACTTAAGGTGAACATCACGCTCTTAAGGGTTGCATGGTTTTTCAAGGGTTTTCACAAAACTTAATGAGTCTTGCATGTTTATATTTGATCTGAACATCACAGATGGGTTGCATGTTAGATATATGTTTTCGCTTGAGCATCACGAGGAAAATATGCATTAGGAAAACCTAACATTCAAAGCATGTATGTGGAAATTTACAAGTAATTAGTAGAATTGCATAGGATTGTAACGGTGACGGTTGAACCCTAGGACTTTTACAAATTGATTTTTTTTTAAATTGTTCTCTAGTTAATTTATTTAATTGTCTTTAATTTAAAATCGTTTTTATTATTTTAAATTCCAAAATCATCCTTTTCACAACTTTGTTCTAAATAATTAGCTAAGTATTAGTATAAATACAAATTATTCATTCAATCCCTATGGAAACGACCTTGCTTGAGCTGCTATACCACGACAACCTTGTTCTTGCAAGTATTTTTAAGTGTTTTTATCCCTTCTTTTGTAGGTGGTAAAATTCCTTATGAAGAAATTGGCGCAAGACCATGCATGATGGATATTGTAGCCAAAGAACTTGTCCGAATTGAGAAGTCTATCCTGTGTTACCAAGAATCAAGATTACTTTGTGTTTGATAAATATCAACAATCAATGATAAATTTATATATACTAATAAATCATAACTGCTAATAAATAATTTAACAGAGTATGAACAAAACGAAATAATATTAGCAGACAAACTGAAGATCGAGGCTTGTGTACTGCAATGTCCTTGAAACAGAAATTCTGTCCCTACTTAGTGCTTGTAGTTCTACGGACGTCTGCTTCACCAGGATTCAACGATCTATGTCAGAATTCCAGCGGCGGAAAACTTGACTTCTGGCGAATTTCTTTGTGGTTTTCTCAATAAAAATGTTAAGAATTTTATTTTTCTGTGTTCTAAATGTCTGCTTCACCAGGATTCAACGATCTATGTCAGAATTCCAGCGGCGGAAAACTTGACTTCTGGCGAATTTCTTTGTAGTTTTCTCGATAAAAATGTTAAGAATTTTATTTTTTTGTGTTCTAAATGTCATGCAGATGGATGTATATATAATAGGTTTATGCATGTTTGCAACAGGTATGACAATGAGATGCTCTTTGTGGTTCTCTCAGTAAAAATGCTAAGATTTTTATTTTTCTGTATTCTAAATGCCATGTAGATGGATGTATATATAATAGGTTTATGCATGTTTGCAACAGGTATGACAATGAGATGCGTCTGTTGGGAGACATCTTTTCAAAGGGGTTCTTCGCTCTCTGGTGTTCTTTCATTTTAGATGAAGTCTGTTGATATAAAATATAAATATTATTTGAGCTTGAGCATATATTAATTATCAATTTATTAGTACACCCCAAAGCCCAATCCCAATATTGAGCCCAATTTTATTCTTCATGGTCCATTACTTCAATCAATTTCTATAAGGGATAAAGCCTTATAAAGTGAGAGAACCTTTTGGTAGTGACCAATATGGGACAATGAAATTTCTACTCAAAATTTCCAACACTTTGAATGTCTAAATAGGATATAGATCGGTTCAACAATACTTTATGGTTTCCTATTTCTAGTTATTTAGCAGAGAGATGGTCGCTACCTAGTCTTCATTCATGTATATATTTTTGTGCTCAATGATTTCAAGGCAAGTTCGATTTTCATTTTTCTCTAAATTCGTACGATTTCTTAATGTTGCACTTTGCGTTTGCTAATGAATATGTACATGTATCTGAACCAATCCCTCCTTTTCCGTATTTTCTTTGACTTTGCTCCCAAAACTTAGCAACTTCTCTTTCTCTATGACAAACCCTCATTTGCAATCGCAATCTCTTTTTTATATTTGATACATTTATACGACTACTCTCACCCGTCTTCAACGAAATATGTACACTGTGTCACGCTCTATAAGGATATGTGGCAGAAGATTTGTGAACTGGGAGGTAGGTTTTTAGGAGATTGTAACGATACGTAGTTGTGGATACTTGTGTGCTTTCATATATTATGTATGTCAGCTTCCTAATTTCCTGCTCCCTTCCTCCATTCATCGTATTGACTAATAATCTTTTTTTCTAATATGGGGGTGTTTCATGTAACTTTCTTACTCGGCCCCACTGCATATATCTTATTTCAAGCAGGGAAGATGATTGGATGACATGTTGACCTTGTAAAGCATATAGCAATAAATTTCAGAACTATAATCATATTCTCAAATGAAAGCCATCAGCAGAAGAATACGAAAATAATGGAGCAGAACTGCTGCTCTGCTTGCACGTGCCATACACAGCTCGTTCAAGTACTGTTTACCTGGTGCAATCTAGTCCAATCCTAAGCGGCCTTGGTGCTACACAAAACAAAAATAAATAAAATAAAATAACTCTTGCAATTGTAAGTTATAGGTTTCAGGAGAACATAGATCAGTTGTTGTGTATGTGAGTTCACGTGCTTACCAGTTGCAGATGATCGTAGAACCTAAAATCTTTGAGGAGGTAGGGTGCTAGCCAGAAAAAAGTGAAAGCAATGCCACCCAAAGTCTTGAAAGTTCTTGTTTTAATCATCATATATGCCTTTATTTGATTTAGACCTGATTTTGAGATATTCCTGTAACTATTTTTGTACTTGTTTTCTAAATCATTGTGTTAAATTTTGATCATCAATCTCAAAGATTTCAGCAGAGGCTGAATCTAAATTTCATGAGGCTGAACCCCAAAGTTCATTTTTTAGGACAGAAACCCTTTAAAGAAGGCCAGATTCTTGCCTTTGTAATCTAGTACCACAATAGGATTATAGGAGCAAGAAATCCAACACGCTATATTTTATGTTTTTTTTTTTTCAGGTTCGAACAAATAAGAATGCTTATATATAATCTTTTAGACTTTCGTGTGAAGTTCATAGGCAAAAAATGAAAGGAAAATACGCTATTCAAGTTATATGGAAGGTGTTCTGTCATATCTTGGTGTGTGTTTTAATTATACATATGCGGGTGTGGATGTGTGTGGGTGTGTGGGTGTGTATTAATC